CATGTCAACATGATCTCATGAGTTGCTTTGCATGGCATGTTTTTTGGCAATCTCCTGAACACATGAACCAGTGATTTGCCGCTTGTGTGTTTTTGCTCCACAGATGTTTTTGTTTTCATGAATCCGAGACCTTGGATGAAGTAAACCTGTATTTTTTGTAAAGAGATGAGCTTTGTCGTCGGGGCGTTGCAGAGAAAGACCGCTTGCTCATAAGTTGATTTGGTGAAGCACGGCCTGCACAAGTTGCGGGCATGAAGCGACAAGTCGGTCATGCTAGGGTTGAGACAGCGGCTTGGATTCCAGCTCGTGTCGCTGACAGCCATCCCTTGCTCATATTCGCAATAGCTCCTGCAGTTGGGTGTGTTTGTGCGAGGCTTGCTTGTGCAATGAACGCACATTTTCAACAAACCCCAGCTCCCCCAGGGCAATGGGTGCCTGGCTCATGGGGCACATCCGGTACCGCAATGATTCAACAGGCCCCAGCGACAGACCCATCGGTTGGTTCTTGGCAGTCTCAGCCGGGGCCAAACCCAGCGATCACCGGTGCGGCATGGATGCAGCATCAACAGGGAAAGGGCCAGTTTGCGATGACTCCGCAAAGTCTTGCTTCGGGCTCTCCATTCGGTGCTTCGTCTTGGGAGCAAGCTCCCTCGCAAGGTTCTGTGGACGCGTTTTCTGCAGAGTATGCTGGCAAAGGTGTGTCCGCGCACCACTTTCAATCAGCTCCTCCAGGCGCGTGGCAGCCTGAAGGTGTTCCAGATTCTCACCGCAGACGTCGACACCGTTCTCGCTCCCCTCGCAGATCAACTGGTACTGATGTTTTGCAAGCTCTACAGCGTGGAGGCGTGAGCTTGTTCCGGGAAGTCTTTCATCAGTTGCCGCAGGACTTCCGAGCAGTGACCCTTGAGGCTCCGCCGGGTTTGGTCGTCGACACGCAAAGCATCACTAATCAAGAGGATCGCATGTCCATGTGCAGGAGGTTGAACGACCTCCGCAGAGAGCGACTGGCTCCCCTTGCATCTCCAGCGTCGGCGCCATTCTATCAGGAGGATGGCTTCAAATGTGTGCCTATGAGTCGTCAAACTGAGAGGCACTTTTGGGACCTGTTCCATCGGCTTCCTGTGGCCACCACTGATGCTTCCAGATGGAAGGCCGTCTTGAAGCATGTTGACCAATGCCCTGAGAAGCCCAAGAGCACCCCAACCTCCAGGGATGTGGAGTGGGCTTCCGCTGAATTGCAAGATGGACATGTAGCTACGGTGAACTCCCCTCCGCGGACTGCACGCCAGCAGACCTCGAGTTTCCAGGCTTTGCAGGATCTGGCTGCGGGCTCTCCTCTCAAGCCGGGTCTCCCACTCGCTGCTGAGGAGGATTACGCTACATGGGTCAAAGGTCGTGTCGATGTTGATACGGCCAACCTGTCCTTGGCCACGCTGGAGCTGGACACCAAAGCTCGCAAGTTCTCAAAAAAGATGTCTGCGGACAAGGCCTTGAAGTCCTTGCCGCCGCTGGAGGCCATGGGTGACTTATTCACCGTGGTATACAAGATCTATCTCAGGAAACTTGAGAAGCTGTGTTCCAACTTGAATTCGCGTTCCAAGGAAGGTAAGGCTCTTAAAAAACTTTGCGACGACCTGAACGTGGAGAATGATTCGTCATTTCCTGATCTAGTTGCGAGGCTGCGTGCATCGGAGATTATGCACAAGCCTTTGTGACTCCGTCCTGACCCGGAGGTCGCTAAAGTTTTGCGTGCGATGCTTGATGTCATCCTTCTAGTCCGCTTTCGCACCCTGGCATCCCCTGGGCGTTGGAAGGCGCAGATTGTGCTTCTCCGAGTTTCGGGTAGCGTCTTTTTAATGTGGCTCCAGTCTCGGGAATCGAGGCGGAATGCCCGGTTGCTTCAGCACATCGGCTGTGATCCATGGGACTTGGGATGGAGTCGTC